AAATAAAGAAAGAAAGAAAGAAAGAAAGAAAGAAAGAAAGAAAAAAAGAAAGAAAAAAAAAAAGTAAAAAAGAGCATAAAAAGAAAGAAAAAAGAGAGGAAAGAAAGTAAAGAAAAAATAAAAGGAAAGAAAGAAAAAGAAAGAAAGAAAGAAAGAAAGAAAGAAAGAAAAGTAACGGGAGCATAAAAACAAAGAAAAAGTGAGAGAGAAAAGAAAGTAGACAAATACGAGGAAAGAAAGAAAGAAAGAAAGAAAGAAAGAAAGAAAGAAAGAAAAGTAACGGGAGCATAAAAACAAAGAAAAAGTGAGAGAGAAAAGAAAGTAGACAAATACGAGGAAAGAAAGAAAGAAAGAAAGAAAGAAAGAAAGAAAGAAAGAAAGAAAGAAAGAAAGAAAAAAAAAGAAAAGAAAGAAAAAAAAGTAGACAAAATAGGAAAGAAAGAAAGAAAGAAAGAAGGAAAAGAAAAAGAAAGAAAAAAGAAAGAAAGAAAGAAAGAAAGAAAGAAAAGTAAAGGAGCAAAAAAAAAGAAAAAGTGAGAGAGAAAAAGAAGTAGAAAATGAGGGAAAGAAAGAAAGAAAGAAAGAAAGAAAGAAAGAAAGAAAGAAAAGTAACGGGAGCATAAAAAACAAAGAAAAAAGTGAGAGAGAAAAAAAGTAGACAACATGAGGAAAGAAAGAAAGAAAGAAAAGAAAGAAAAGAAAGAAAGAAAGAAAGAAAGAAAAGTAATGGAGCATAAAAACAAAGAAAAAGTGAGAGAAAAGAAAGTAGACAAATGAGGAAAAAAGAAAGAAAGAATAAAAGAAAGAAAGAAAGAAAGAAAGAAAGAAAGAAAGAAAAAAGAAAGAAAAGTAACGGGAGCATAAAAACAAAGAAAAAGTGAGAGAGAAAAGAAAGTAGACAAATACGAGGAAAGAAAGAAAGAAAGAAAGAAAGAAAGAAAGAAAAAAGAAAGAAAAGTAACGGGAGAATAAAAACAAAGAAAAAGTGAGAGAGAAAAGAAAGTAGACAAATACGAGGAAAGAAAGAAAGAAAGAAAGAAAAAAGAAAGAAAGAAAGAAAGAAAGAAAGAAAAGTAACGGGAGCATAAAAACAAAGAAAAAGTGAGAGAGAAAAGAAAGTAGACAAATACGAGGAAATAAAGAAAGAAAGAATAAAAGAAAGAAAGAAAGAAAGAAAGAAAGAAAGAAAGAAAGAAAGAAAAAAGAAAGAAAAGTAACGGGAGCATAAAAACAAAGAAAAAGTGAGAGAGAAAAGAAAGTAGACAAATACGAGGAAAGAAAGAAAGAAAGAAAAAAGAAAGAAAGAAAGAAAAGACTAAATAAAAATAAAGAATGTAAAGAAGCGAGAAAATAAAAAAGGAAAAAAGAAACAGGAAGTAGACAAAAAGAAAGAATAAAAAGCAAATGAAAGAAAGGTGAATACAATAAGAAAGGGAAGAGAAAAAAACAAATAAAAAAAAAGAAAAAAAGAAAGCAAGAGACAAATGAGAACAAAACGGATTTAATGACGAGACATATTTAAAGCATAAACTTCCACATCCCTATCGAACTAACGTCGCTTTCTCACACCCAGGTCATATCAATCGTCCCCCCGTTTTATTGCTCTCGCCATCTGATACTGCTCAGGAAGCAACATCATGAATATTCAAAATTCTTAACATTCTTTATTTGGTCTTATTTTCGTATTCATTACCGTACAAATATGACAACTACATTATATATTTGTAAAATATTGCCCTCTAAAAATGGGAACCCAAGTTCGGGAAAGCAAAAGCGGGAAAATGTATATAAATAATGGTCGAATAAAAAATAATGGTCGTATAAAGAAAAAGAAACATTTTTTTCCCAGTCGCCAATAGCAAATTATGAGAGGTTAGTGTTGAATAATTTCAGAAACAAGGTGATCATTAAATGCATGAAAATAAACAAACTCAATTCAGAAGATTAAAAAAAAAAAACAAAATAACAAAAAAAAAACAAAAACGCATCAATGAATTATAACGTCTGTTTTACAAACTTTTAACTTTCCTCTGATACAAATCGAAATATTTTATTGCCAACTAGCAGTATAACCCGGCTTCCACCGGGTATTTCATTATTGGGATTTTTTCACATTCAATTGGAGAAGTTTTAAAGTCAGCCTACCCGAAAATCAATATTAGTAACAACAACTGGGTGTAACTTAAACACATCACCAAATTGGGGGTGGGGGTTAACAATTTGAATAGGGGGGCTCTGAAAAGGGCCGTTTTATGTTCTCAATCTTGCATGGAAGGAAACCTCTTCCATGGACCGTCATAATAATAATGAAAAAGGTGCAAGGTAATGAGCGTAATAATGTCGTTTTTGACGTATTTTTTAACGTCAAAAACGACATTATTACGTCATTATTTTTGCACCAACCTAATAATAAACGATAATTTTTATTTATAATATAGTTTGTTTTTTTATTCTAATGATCTTTTGCGTTAGATTTCAACCAACTATCTAAGTTGATTGTATGCTGATTTTTTAAAGACAACAAATTTTTGCCTTTGATTTTTGCGCAAGGTGTAAAAAAACATTTTTTTTTCCAGAGAATTTGGACTCAAAACCGGCACAGAAGAATTATCTATCAAACAAAAAAAAAAAAAGAAAAAAAAAAAGAAAATCATCGAAGTCTGTCTATATTTCTGAGATGAGATATTATGTACACTATTTACGGACTATTGTCCTCATCTTTGTCGCCATATTTATCACAGCGTTTCGGCCGTTGTACGCTCCGGCCTTCTTCAGGTGCTCAACGACACATGGCACAGTGGATAAAGGCGTTGGTTAGATCCAGTGACAAGACCCAAAGAGTGTGAGTTCAATACCCAGTTAAGGCAGTGGAGAACTTTCAGAGGGAAAATTAACAGGAGATAACTGATAGCTGACATCCATCAAACATGGCACGTGGAACTACAACAGTCTACCCCAGTGAGCGAAATAAGTTCGACATTCCAACCACCTGAAGAAGGCCGGAGCGTACAATGGCCGAAACGTTTGATAAATATGGCGACAAAGATGAGGACAATAGTCCGAATAATGTAAATAAAATCATCGAAATCGCATGAAAAATGTGGAAACACATAAACAAGATCCGATCACACAAACGCACACACATTTTGAGAATTGTAGATATAGATTGCTATAGTTTTTATTATTATTATTATTATATTATTATTATTATTAAGACAGGATAGAATTAAATATCTGGAAATTGTTCCAACAGAGGAGGGACTGAGATCTGAAGGCGTATTGGGATGGCGAAAGATGCCTTCCAAAAGCTAAACTGAGTATTAAAAAACAGAAAACCTTCGTTAGAAACAAAGAAAAGAGTATTGATATGTTACATAATATCTGTCCCCATGTATGGCAGAAAATTCCGGACGATCACATTTTATTGCCAAATGTTATACTTTTTTCATTTTTTTATTAAGACAGGTTAAAATTAAATTTCTGGGAAGTGTTCTAACAGAGTAAGGAAAGAGATCCGAAGACATATTGTGATGGACAAAGATTACTACCAAAAGCTAGGCGGAGTATTAGGAGTTAGAAAAAAAATCGTTAGAAACAGAACACGGGGAAACTGAACTGTTACGTGATATCTCTCCTCCTGTATAGCAATGTATGCTGGGCAGTCTCCTCAAATATGAAGAAGAGGCACTTCGCAGATATCTCTCCCGAGTGAGATCCCCCATAGGGGAGAAAATGACTAAAGACTGTGTGTACACTATCTCGTGTAGCTGCAGAAAGGAATATAAAGGAGAGACAGGCTGCCCCCTCAAAGTAAGGCTTCAAGAACACAAGAAAGATGTAACACGAGGGGAAGTAGAAAAATCAGGCGTGGCTGACCACATACGGAGAGAGAAGGGAGATCACCGCCCTCTGTGGGATCATGTTGAGATCATAAACAAGGAACACTATTGGAAAATTCGTAAACTTAAGGAATCAGCACATATGCTAGGCCACAGAAATCTCCTGAGCCGACCAAGCATAGAAATGAATACAATATGGGAACCAGTAATAAGGAGTGCCAGAGAAAAGCAATGATAACAACAAAGGCAATATGAGCTCTGGTAAAACATGCAATGATAACAGCAAAATTGCAATATGAGCACTGGTAAAAATAGTTGCTGAGGACATTAGGTTTATTATACCCAGAAATTCATACCCAGATGTCCTCAAGGACACATGGCATAGTGGATAAAGGTGTTGGTTAGATCCAGTGAAAGGACCCAAAGAGTGTGAGTTCAATATTTGGTTAAAAACTTTCAGAGGGAAATTAGCAGAAGATAACTGATAACTGACATCCATCAAACATGGCACGTGGAACTAGAACAGTCTACCCCAGTGAGCGAAATAAAGGGTTCAGTTCGACATTCCAACCACCTGAAGAAGGCCGGAGCGTACAACGGCCGAAACGTTGTAATAAATATGGCGACAAATTTGAGGTCAATAGTCCGAATAATGTAAATAATGAGACGAAGTAATAGAAATATGGCTCTACAAAAAGATCCAAAGACGTATTGGGGATGGCTAAAGATGCCTTCCAAAAGCTAAGCAGAGTATTAAGAGCCAGAGAAATTTCGTTAGAACCAAAGAAAGACTAGTGAAATTTTACATGATATCAGCACTCCTGTATGTCAGTGAAAGCTGGAAAATTTCCTCAAAGATTAGGAAGAGTGTTCTACAGAAAGATGCTGAGGATACCATTGACCTTATGTGAACAACGACGATGGTTTTGGAGAGAAATATAACAAAGAGGAAATATATAGTAGAAGAGGCAATTGGAATTTCCGGAGCACGTAATGAGGAAGGAGGGCTTGGTAAATCTAATACTCGTAGGACAAAATTGAGGGAAAGCAGGAGAGAGGAAAGCAGCACGTAAAATACTTGATGTGCTTGAGCAGATGAATGAGAGAGCAGGGTTTGAGAGAAATAACAAAAAAGACAAAAATTATTAAGAATCAAAATGTTCATAGATACAAACTGAGATAGATAGATAGATAGATAGATAACAGATAGATAGATAGATAGATAGATGAATAGATAGATAGATAGAACAGAGATCTGAACTGAGATAGATAGATAGATCTGAAACAAATCGACAGATGGATGATCAAAGAGACCGAGATAGATAGATAGATAGATAGATAGATAGACAGATGTTGATAGATCTGAACAGAGCTAATAGATAGATAGAGAGATAGATAGATAGATAGATTAGACAGAGATGAATATTAAATAGTCACAATGTTCATAGAAACGAACTGAGATATATAGATAGATAGATAGATAGATCTGAACAGAGCTAGATAGATAGATAGATAGATAGATAGATAGATAGATAGATAGATAGATAGATAGATCTGATCAAAATGAGATAGATAAATAGATAGATCTGAACAAATCGACAGATAAATGGATGGATCAAAGCAGATAGATAGATAGATAGATAGATAGATAGATAGATAGATAGATAGATAGATAGATATGAACAGAGAGAGATAGATAGATAGATAGAGATAGATAGATAGATTAGACAGTGTTGAATATTAAAACCAGTCACAATGTTCATAGAAACGAACTGAGATAGATAGATAGATAGATAGATAGATAGATCTGAACAGAGATAGATAGATAGATAGATAGATAGATAGATAGATAGATAGATAGATAGATCTGATCAAAATGAGATAGATAAATAGATAGATCTGAACAAATCGACAGATAAATGGATGGATCAAAGTAGACCGAGATAGATAGATAGATAGATAGATAGATAGATAGATAGATAGATAGATCTGAACAGAGCTAGATAGATAGATAGAGAGATAGATAGATAGATAGATAGATTAGACAGTGTTGAATATTAAAACCAGTCACAATGTTCATAGAAACGAACTGAGATAGATAGATAGATAGATAGATAGATAGATAGATAGATAGATAGATAGATAGATCTGAACAGAGATAGATAGATAGATAGATCTGATCAAAATGAGATAGATAAATAGATAGATCTGAACAAATCGACAGATAAATGGATGGATCAAAGCAGACCGAGATAGATAGATAGATAGATAGATAGATAGATAGATAGATAGATAGAATAGGCAGTGAATATTAAAACCAGTCAAGATGTTCATAGATAGGTACAAACTGATATAGATAAATAGATAGATTTGAACAACCTGAGATAAATAAATAGATAGATAGATCTGAACAAACTGAGATTGATAAACAGATAGATTGATAAAACATAGATCTGAACAGAATGAGATAGATAGATAGATAGATAGATAGATAGATAGATGTTTCCATTTATATTTGCTGTAGTTGCAATTTCCCTTTTTTTTTTTACTCGTTATTTTCCCCGTCCGCGATGATCTTTGTTTTAGGTCTTACTTACTTTTCGTTCAACTGTAATATCGAACTTTAAGATTTCCGTTCCGTGGAAATGGTAAGATTCAAGACAAAGGAAAGAATTCAATCGAATGACATTTATTTCATTCTGACTAGGGACTTTTTTCTTCATTCTTTTTTTCCAAATATCAGAGAATAAATAAAAACATTCCTCGTTCCTGTGAACCCAAATTTGAACGATTCACATCATCAATGCAAATAAATTGTATTAAATCTTGCAAAGAAATTTCATGCGTCGTAAATCCAACGCCCACTAACAAATACACACACCCTCACACAAAATACTCATATATATATATATATATATATATATATATATATATATATATATATATATAGAGAGAGAGAGAGAGAGACATTGTTGAAGATGTATAATGTGCTGCTCACATACACATGTGTATGTATAAAAATATTTTCCAATATTAAACGTTGTAAGCTGTCAATGTAGGATCTTTCAATTCATAGTTGCTTGATAGCCCGATTCTTAATATAATTTGCCAAATTTCTTCATCCTTGACAGAAACAAAAATGCCCTCATGAATCACAAATGTTTTTAGAATTGAATAAATTCGAATTAGACATTTTGAAAAAAAAGCGGACGGATACATTCCATGGATTCGGCAGCGCTTACAACTAACCTACTGTTATCATTTGAACTGTGGTAGAGATCCCGACGTGTTCTTCATAAAGATACGATTTTTAACACCAAAGAAACAAGCTATATGGTTGTCTGTAAAAAGAAAAAAAAAACAGCCCAAAATACGAAATGCAACATGGGAATACTAAAAATCAAACAAGTACAAAAAAAAAAAAAAAACAACTAGGAAGTATTTTAACCAAAGACGAAAAATGCCTCACCGAAATCCAAGGGCGCATTAGCATAGCAAAAGATGCCTTCCTAAGTCTAAGTAAACTATGAAGAAACATGAAAATTTCATTAGAAACAAAGAAAAGCCATGATGCAATACTGATCGTTCCATATGGCAGTGAATGCTGGACAATCTCCTCACAGATAGAGAAGATGTGTGGAACAGCAGAAATGTGGCTCTACAGAAGGATACTGAGAATACCATAGACTGAACACGTGAACAGCGACGAAGCTTTAAAGAAAATGGAAACAAAATAAACCTCATACTTAACATCAGGAAGAAACAATTAACATTTCTCGTACACCTAATGAGGAAAGATGGCTTGGAGAATTTGACACTAATAGGACAGATTGAAACTAAGAAGGTGTTATACCTGAACGTACCTATTCTATTTTTAATAGACTCTCCCACACATAATAAGTAGTAGTAGTAGTAGCGATCGCCAGTTGAGATCAGTGGAGTTGAGTGAGTCAGTCGATGTCGGACATTGAAGTATCAACCATCACAACTAGATTGCTGCGTCATTAACTCTTATTTCAAGTTCCTAAAGTTTTGTACGTCGGACCCTTTTTAGGACCGTCTTAGCGAAATACAAGCCTCCGCGGTGAAAACTACTCTACAACAGAAGGACAGAGGAAAACATCGCATAACCTAACAAGCGAGACTGTATAAATCATTGGCAGAACAGGTATTAGGAGAAAAATGGCTAAAATATTTTAAGTGCTACAAAGACAGGAACCTGCGGAGAGCCATAATCGCCCACGTCCTTAAGAAGAAGATACACCGAAATGTATATGTATAAATATGTCCTGACAAGACACTTTATATGCGACCTATTACGCAAAAACTTCGTTAATATTTAACTGAGAAAAAGTTCCTAACGTAATTATACCAGGTGTAACAGAGAGTTGAATACCAAGTCGAGTCTAATACATTCACCCCTGCAATGTTTAATCTTGGGAAAACCATGGAACCATCTTTTGATCCTCAGCACAGACTGGGTTTGACAACCGGTCTTTGGCTTCCATCTTCAAAGTCCGTTCAAGAACAAGAGAACCGTGAATAAGTCTTGGAGAGTGAACAGTAGAGAGGAAGACTAGGTCAGCAGCATACAAAATTATTAACAGTTTCCACCTTTGTGCAAATTAACTGAAACAAAACGAATAAGTCCATTATTATTCACTTTTCTCCGTATTTTTCTAATGAAACATAACACGGCGCACATGTTAGTAATTCGTATGTTCAAAACACGAAGTCATTCCTTGCAGATTGATCACAGATTCTCGATTGGATTTAAATCAGGAGAGTTTCCGGGATACTGAAACTAAAGAATAAGTCTTTCATTTGCTCACTGGTAACATAACACGCTTGACATTGTTTTGATCACAGATTCCTTTGATTTAAATCAGGAAGTTGATAGATAGATAGATTTGATCACTGGTAAGGCTAGATATTGATAGATAATGAATATACAGAGATAGATAGATAGATAGATAGATAGATAGATAGATAATGAGCATACGGAGATAGATAGATAGATAGATAGATAGATAGATAGATAATGAACATACTTAGATAATGAATAGACTGAGATAGATAGATAGATATGAAGAAGTTAAGGATAGATAGATAGATAGATAGATAGATAGATAGATAATGAACATACTGAGATAGATAGATCGAGAGAGAAACCTACTTCGAGAGACAGACATATAGATAGATAGATAGATAGATAATGAACATAGATAATGAATAGACTGAGATAAATAGATAAATATGAAGAAGTTAAGGATAGATAGATAGATAATGAACATACTGAGATAGATAGATAGATAGATAGATAGATCGAGAGAGAAACCTACTTAGACAGACAGACATATAGATAGATAGATATGAAGAGACTGGTAGATAGATAGATAGATAGATAGATAGTGAAAGTCAACTCGTGACCGAGTAAGACCATCTGTTGCTCTCAAATCCACTTTTTCTTTTTACACACATTTTAACTATCATCCCTTCATCACTGATAATGTTTCATATGGCTTTTGAGAACTGCAAGAGTCCCGCTGTTCTCTCCCCACATTGCCGACCTGTTACTTTTCCCGCTACAACATGCCTTTCTGGAAATGTTCTGTGAGTCTGCTGGCTGATCGACACACTTTATGGCAGATTGTACAAGTATGATCATCGCGTGTGGCTGAGAAGACTTGCTTCTGAATATTAAATGCAGTCACATTGATCACACGTAAGAGACTCCTTCATTCCGGGTTCTGGGAGAGGGGTGACGCCTTTCATATATCTGCCGGCACGTTTTTGTTGTGTATAGTTTATCGGGGTGTCCTCAAAATTCTCGACACCATTTGCAATGACATATTTCCATGTTTGCCGATCTGATGCATGTTTTTTGCAGAGAGATATACAACTGTGTATATATATATATATATATATAAAGAAATGGACAAAGTCCGACAACTTATTTATTAAAGACATTTTTTATGTTTAACGTTTTTTTATAGATACAAGTATTTAAGTAAATGCTCTGTTTATAATAAACAGTATTAAATAACATTTACCGGCCTGAATGTCCGAGAAATCTCCATAGAAAATATTCGTCCTTTGACAGGATTCGAACCTGCATCCTATACGGAACCGTCATTTACGCT